GAATAAGAAGGGTGCCCTGGCTGGTGTAGCTCAGTGCATTGAGCTCGGGCTGTGAACCAAAGAGTCGCCGGTTCGATTCCCAGTCAGGGCATATGCCTGGGTTGCAGGCCAGGTCCCCAGTGGGGGCCATGTGAGAGGCAACCACACGTTTATGTATCTCTCCCTCCCTTCCCCTCTAAATAAATAAATAAATAAATAAATAAATAAATAAAAAGAAGGGTGCCTATTCCCTAGGGCCCTGGGGGTGGGACTGAAGGGCTTGGTATAAACCATGTCCACAGAACAAAGCCTGGTCCCTAGCAGGCAGTATGGACGCAGGGATACGACCGATGGAAAGAGCTGAGTTTGTCATTCTACCCATTTTTATTTAAAAAACTATTTGTCCTGGCCTTCTTAAAGCACACACGGGACACACCTTAACAGTCCCCAGATCCCCGGTGCTCACTGTTAAGAAGTGAACTGCTCACCTGTACCCCAGACCCCTCTCAGCCAGGGGAGAGGGGGAGGGGGTGCAGAGAGCTGTCTCACCGGGCCCTGCCCTGTGCCAGCTGCATGGGGGTGGGGTGGGGTGCCAGCGCCCTGAACTGCTGCGGAGGCGGAGCCCTCCCCGGGGCTGGGCCCAGGGGAAGCCAAGAAAAGCCAGCAGGACGGCAGGTCATGAGGCCTGAGAGAGGAACGGGCGGAGAGCCGTTTCATTGATGCCGTTTGATGCTCTCACATGCTCGAATGAGAACCTGGAGAAGTTTAAAAAGTGGGAGAGGCCGCGACGCCGCCGGAGCCTCAGCAGTGGGGAGACAAAGAACATCTATTCCCTTAAAAAAAAAAAAGCCATGAGTCTTTTCTTTTAGAAGATTTTATTTATTTATTTGAGGGGAAGGGAGCGTGAAAGAGAGGGAAGCATCAATGTGTGGTTGCCTCTCACGTGCCTGCTACTGGGGATCTGGCCTGCAACCCAGGCATGGGCCCTGACTGGGAATCGAACCGGCAACTCTTTGGTTCCCAGCCTGAGCTCAACCCACTGAGCCACACCAGCCAGGGCTCATGTGTCTTTTTAAATGCTCTCGACACTACTGTCAACACCACCAGGTCTCAGTCCTACAGAAATGACAGGAGGTACACCAAGTCCACTGTGCCCAGGCTTTCAGAGAAAGGTAATATGGCCATACTTTCAACAGCAGAGAGGCTGCGTAGTTACGGTAGAGCCCCCTAGCTGCCCTCGGAGCACTATACAGCCAGGAAAAAGGGGGACAGTGCCTCATTAAGCAAACGCACAGAAGGCCGAGACAGAAATGTGTTTGTTAGGATCCTACACAACTGTTTTATTTTGTTGTTGTTGTTGCTGTTTTAATCCTCACCAGAAGATATTTTTCCATTGCTTTTTAGAGAGAGAGGAAGGAAAAGAGAGAAGTATCGATTGGTTGCCTCCCATATACACCCGGACTGGGGATCGAACCTGCAACCTTTCAGTGTATGGGACAACGCTTTAACCCACTGAGCCACCATGACAAGGGGTTTGCAAAGGCCCACGTGGAGGCACCCCCATGCAAGCGAACCCATTGGGAGGTCTGGAAAGAGTCCTGCTGACACAGGGCGCAGTGGTAGGCCAGGGGAGGGGAAGACTTGCACACTCTGTCCGCACACTTCTGCATTGTTTGAAGAGTTTCACAACGGGGCCACCGGCAGCCTGGGACCATGTGGGAGAGGGGCGGGAGCCGGCGGCCTGGATGTGCCCCAGACAAAGTGCTGGCCCCTGGCCAGCCCGGCTCTGCCCTGCGAGCGAGAGATCCCACCCTCACCCCGCACTCTGACGGGCTGCCTTTCTGAGGCTGCTGCGAGGGGTCCTGTGGGCTTGTGTGTGTGTGTGGGCGGGGGGTGGCTTCAATACCCTGCCCCGGCCACCCCTGTCACGATGGAACCCCTCACTCAGTGGGTAAAGACGAGTTTCAGACGAACTCCACCCAAACTCTAACAGGAAATGGCTGAGAGAATGCAACTTTACTCTGCTTCCCGCCCCCACCCCAAACCCCAAACGAGGCAGGTGACCAAGACCAAGACGGTGTCTGGGGGTCTGCCCGCAGGGCAGGGGGGAGCTGTCTTTCCGGCCAGACCCCCACCAGAGCTGCTGAGGTGGGCAGCGTGCAAGGGGATGTATGTTTTGGTGCCCTGGCAACGGAGGGGAAACAGGCGCAGAGGCATCCTGAAAACAATTCTTTGTGGAGACGGACAGGGAGAAATGCAGAGGCCGCATCTCTGCCAAGAAGGGCTCTGTGGCCATTCGGCTGGGGGTCCACCACTCCACACCACAAGCAGGGGTCTCCGGATACAGGGCCTGGGGAGCTCAGGGAGACAGGTCTGCCCTGCCAGGGTCCCGGCCTTTCCTTCTCTGCAAGTCTCTGAATTTTCGCAGCGAAGCTCTCCGGCCTCCAGGCAAATCTGCTCCTGGTCTTGCTACTCCCCACACACAGCCAGGCTTAGCAGACTTCCCAGGCCTGGGCTGGGACATCGGCATCAACCACACAAAAAGTTGCTTGAGTTCCAAAGACATTTGTGTTTTTGTTTTATCAGGCGTCTTAGCGAAAGTGGTTTTGCAATTCATTCCCCGTCATAAGACTGCTATGGGGCTGGGGGGTCCCTCGTGGAGTAGAACAGCCGGGCATGACCCAAACCACTGCCTACAGAGACCTCCCCTCCCCCAGAACGCTACTGGCGGCCCACAAGCCAAACCCCGGCCACCTCAGACTCAGGGTCCGCTGCTCCTGTCTTCCCTGAGTGGCTCGGCCTCTCGGCCACCCCCTGCAGCCAGCCGGCCTGTCCTCTCCTTTCTGTGGCCAGCCTCTGCCTCCTCTGAACACCAGTTAGAAGTGTGTGGCACTCCTGAGCTAGGGCTGGAAACGGCCTTCCACTTCTGCAGGTGCCCCAGGAGGGAGGCAGCCCCTTGGTTCAGATGCAGGTCGGCCTCCGAGACCTGGGAAGGTGCACTGCCAAGGGCCCCACCGGGAACCTGTGCGCTCCCGACTTGGTGGTCCGCAGCTGCTCAGGGGGTGGGGACTGGAGTTTCTGCACACCTGAAAGGTGGGGCCGGCTCCCTGCGGCGCCGGTTCCCTCCTCTCCCGCCCACCTTGGGTTTCCAGGCACCCCCAAGAAACGGACTAGACTCTGACTCCCAGCCCACTTGGAGAGGTGAGGGTTCCTGGCGCCCTGTTCCAATCGTCTAGCCAAACAAAGCCTGGACGCCGGCGGGGGCTGAGGGCAGCCAACTCCGAAGACATCCTCGGCTTGAAGACCCGCAGCCCCGCCGGCCCTGCCCCTCAGCCCCTCCCCAGTCCTGGAACCCAGCTGCCCCGCGGGAGGCCACTGTGAATTTGTGCGCAAAAAGATTTCCTAATCACCAAGTCCTTGGCCCAGCAGGGGCCTCTCCCCCCAAAGCGGTCCTCAGCCCCAACCACGCCCCAGGCGCTCGCCCCGCGCCCGGGGCTTGGGGTCCGTGGGCCGAGTTACCTAGCGGGGTGCCGCCCTCACGGCCACACCCACCATCGCAGTGACGTCCCCAACCTGAACCAACACCCCTTGACGAATCCCAGCCCCCACCTCGGTCCACACACCCTGAATTCTGACTCAGAATGCCGAGAAATGTCCTCCTTCGCCCTGGACCCCACCACCTGCCACGCGGTTTGGGGCGTCGGGTCCAGAGCCTCGCGGGCAGCCCTCTGAGGGGAAGGCTCTTCCGAGATCCGCGGTCCTGGACGCCTGCAGATCTCGGATGCGCTCCGTACCAATTTAATCAAGAGAAGGCTGCAGTTTTTAAACCAGTTTTTCAGTCATCTTGGGCACTGTTTCACAAATGAGAAGACTAAATCTTTGGTAACAAGGGAACATCATAAGTATAGGGATTTTTTAACTTGCCCCAAATATGGAAGAGTTAAGTGACATCGGAGGGTTCACGTGAGCTCAGAGGAAATACAGGGTTCTTAAACCAAACGGGGGTAGCAGGTTGCCATTTATTAAAATGTTTTTTTTCCCCCTCCCACTTTTGTGTTTAAGAAACGACCAACCACAGATGAATCAACTAGCAGGTCCAGGGCCCGCGGGATGGGAAGTGACGCCCCTGGGTCGTAGGGCGGGCGGCGGCGCACGGCCCCCAGGCCGCCGGCTCTCGCCTGCCGCCCCGGTGCAGGTGCCCGGCGCCCGCATCCGACCCGGGCAGGTGAGTGCAGGGCCGGGAAGCCGGCTGCGCAGACAGACGAGCAGGGGGGCAGGGCACTCCTTTCCAGAGAAAGCGCGGCCCCACCAAGGAGCCCCTTGGGTCGGGCGTGCCCCCGCTGGCCGGATAGGCGAGGCTCCCACAAAGAGCCGCGGACAGGGAACCAGGACCGCCCCCCGCGTCCGCCGCCGCAAGCTCTGGTTTCGACAAATTAAACCTTAGAGCGCTGTAAAAATTACAGGAAGAGGAGAGCGAAGAATGTGCCGAGTGGCTAGAGGGAGCGCTGTCCCCGCGTGAACTTCGCCCGCCGCGCGCCTAGCCCTGCCGGCCCCGCCCCTCCCGAGAGCGCGCGGGGGCGGCGAGGGAGGGACCGCGGCGAGGGCACCCCCTCCCTCGCGGCTCCGGGGTGCCGCGGCCGCCCATCTCCCCGATCGGCCCCCGCGGCCCCCACCAAACTCGCCCGCACCTGCCCGCGCCGTCCCCGGGTCTGGGCGGGGTCCCCGCCCCCAACCCAGATGACGACATCCGCCCCCGCGGCCCCGCCTGAGAGCGCCCCGGGAGGGGGGCGTGCCCGGCGGGGGCGCGGTCGTTTGGCGGGTGCCGGCTCCCAGCGCGGGGACCCGCCTCGCGCCGCGCGCGCGGGGCCCGACCGCAGGACCCAGTGACGGGGGAAGGGGTGAGGCCCCGACCGTTCCCCGCCCGACCGCCCTAGAGCCCGGCCGGCGGCCCGGGGGCGTGGCCCGGTGGCTGGCACTGGCCCCTGTCCGCGCGCTCCGGGTGCCCGGGCCGCCCCACTGACCTGTGTGAGTTCTCAGGTGCGCCTTGAGGTGTGAGGATTTCCCGTAAACTTTCTCGCAGCCCGCGTAGTGGCACTTGTGCTTTCTCTGTGGGGACTCGAGGTCGGAGCGACTTCGGCCCCGCCGACCCCTTTGTCTGAGGCCGGGCTCGCCGCTCCCCGCGGGCCCCGGCTCCCTGTCTGCCTCCAACGCCGCCTCGGGCTCGGGCTCGCTCCACGCGGGGCTGAGGGGCGCGGCCGCCGCGGCTTCGCCGCCGGGGGAGGCGGGCTCGGGGACCGGGGGAGACGCGGGCGGCAGACGGCAGGGGGTCCTCGCCTTCCGGGCCGCGGCGCCCTCTCTGCGCTCCGCCGGGGCGGGCGCCGGTGCTTGCTGGTTTAGGTCCGCCAGGATACGCGCCACCACGAAGAGCGAGGCGCTGTCCTTGCCGTCGCGGCGATCCTCGACGTGGGGCAGCGTGGCGGCGACAGCGGCGGCCGCGCCCTCGGGTCCAGGCTCCGGCCCCTCCCTCGGCCCGTGCACTACCGCGCGGCTCGACATGGACACGAGGCACTCGGCGGCGAAGTGGTCCACATAGGCGGCGGCTGCCATGCTGCGGGCTCCGGCCGGCGTGCCGGCGGCACTGCTAGTCGCTGCGAGTCGTCAGCGGTGCATCCGCACCCACAGCCTCCGGAGAGCGGGCGGGGGGGGGCGGGGGCGCGGCGTGCCCTCTCCGCGGGCTGGGCTGGGCGCGCAGCCGCCTCTGCCGTCACCCGCGCGGCTCCGCGTCCACGAGGCGCCCGCCCGGCGGGGCACCGAAGAGTGAGCGCATGGGCTGGTGGCGCAAACCAGTGGGGTCCCGGTCCGGCGTCAGGGGTGGCCTGTCCTAAGGATGCCGAGCGGCGACGTTAGGGACGACCGCGCCAAGTCCCGGCCGCAGCCTCGCCGCGCATTGTGGCAGGCGGGACAGTCGCCGTGCGCGCCGCGGCTCGGTGTGGGCGGACCGGCCCCGGGGGTGGGCGGGGCCGGGGCCACATCTGGACCCGACGTCAGCCCCCAGCCACATCCTGGAGGCGCAGGTTACAGGCGGCGGCCGCCGCGGGGAGCTGCGCGCGCGGAGGGGGCGGGGATCCTGGAGCGCGCACCCGCAAGATAGAGAGGTCGCGCGCGCGCGCCTGGAGAGGGGGGGGCGTAACCAAGGTCAGACGCAGGCCCCATTGGTCCGCGGGTCCGCGGCCGGACCAATCCGGACCGCAAGAGGAGCCTACTCCGCCTCGGGGACTGCGCGCGACAATGGGCGTGCCCCCTTCGCCGGGCTGGAGGAGGGGCGGAAATTAAAGCTGCGAGTCGGGCACGCTGACGCACGTCGCCCGAAGGCGGTGGGCCGAGGCGGGGCCGCTGCCAGCCCTCCCCCGCCGCGGGGACCCCGCGGGGTATTTTCCTGCCAGACCTTTTGTACTGTGACAGCCTGGAACCACGGTGTGGAGGCGAGCGCCGGGGAGGGCGCCCCTTTGTCCCTCCAGCCCCTCCCGCGGGGGGCGCCAAGGGTGGGTGCGCCTCCCCAGGGCTCGCCTCCGCTCCTCTTTCCCCTCCACTGCGAGGTTTGCACCGCGAGGAGGCGTGTCCGCTCCGGCCGAGTGCTGGGCTGTCGGCCGCGCCTGGGGGCGGAACGACCGCCGCCGCACCCACCACAGCCGGGCTCCTGGAGGGCCGCGCCCGGAGACTCAGGCCGCTGGTCCCCCTTCCCCCTCCACGCTCTTCCCTTGCTGAGCTCCGGACCCTCGGCGGCGCGTGCGGGCCGGCAGCGCGGTCACGGCTGGGGCGGGGCCGCTCCCGCGGGAGGCGCCCCGAGCTTCCCCGGCTGGCCCCCCAGGCGGCCGGGGACCCAGTGAGGGCCGCGCTGCCCTTGAGCCTGGGGAGAGGCAGACGGGCCCGGGGCTAGCGGTTAACCTGGCGGCGTGGGTGTCGTGCCCACCGCCGCCGCTCCGGGCTCGCAGGAGTGGACTACGTGCTGGGCGGCCGGCGCGCTGTTCAGGGAACGCGGGGCCCCTTCCTCCCCCTCCCCGCCCCAGGCCCGCTGCCAACTTCTCTAGGCTGCCCCTCTCCCACCGCGGTCGGGGAGGCTTCAAACGCTGCCAGCTGCGAGGACCCCGCCCTCCGCGCCCCACCCGCCCACTGTCGAACCTCCCGAAGGAAATGCTCGGCGGCGCCCGGCTCCCGTCTTCCCACCCGGGCCCCGCCAGCTCGCCCTCGCCTCTCAGCGGCGCCCGCACTCTCCCCCACCCCCCTCCTTCCTCGTCTTTCTCCTCCGAGCCTGTGCCATCACCGGAGTGGCCGGTGCACAACTTCCTTCTGCCTTTCGGGATCCTCGCCCGCAGCCCCAGAGCCAGGGAGCCGAGGCCGGGGTCTGCAGCCCTGGAATATGTATTTGCCTTTAAGGTTAGCGGCCCTCGAGGGGGCCTGGAGGGGGCCCGCCCTGGCACTCGCTCCCTGCGGACCGGAGAAGAGGGAGCAAAAATTTGGATCAGGCATTTCTCCGCTTGGGGGCTGGGCAGAAACAAAAAACAAAAACTTGTTTTCCAGGTAACCAAGGAGAAAGCGTAAGGGGCATTCTCTGGGTTGCGTGTTATGGTGAACTGTGAACTGGCGTGGACGTCTGAGCACCTGAAACGCGAAAATCCCCTCTCATGGAACAAGCCGGGGCCCTCTGAGGAGGCCCCGTAGCCCGCGGAGCTGGGGTGGGCTACGGACCGGCCGGCTGGGTCAGGTCCTGCTGAGATGGTCTCGCCTCGGCAGGAGGTCATCCTTCTCCTCCCAGGCAGACTGTGTCGGTGACATTTAAGAGACTTGTGTTAACGATGCAGAATGTTCCTCCGGGCCCAACACATGTCACAGTCCGTCCCTTGGTTGTGGATGGAGCGGGCCCTGCACTGACTTACCTGCCGGCCGCCCAGCCCCTCCAGGTCCCTCCACCTGGCAGCAGGATCCTGCCCCGTCTTGGAGGTGCCGCATTTCTCCGCCTTCTCCGTGACCCCTGCTGGGACACCCCCTGCCAGCAGACGCTCTGTGAGTGCACACACTCTTCTCGGCACTGGGCAAGACACCTGCCCTGGGCCAGGAAGGGAGGCCGGCCTGGGTCAAGGGTGGGCCCGCCTCACACACACCCCCCACCCCCACGGCCATGCCCTGTGACATTCTGGATGCAAAACTCAGCGCCTTGGCTCGTTTCTCCAGCATCCGATGACTGCTGTGGAGTTCCTACAGGTCTCGTGGCCTCAGGCCTGGCAGCCGTGACCCCAAACCCGGGTGGCAGTGCCTGCCAGCCGGCACGCTCTTTCCCAGAGAAAATCCCGCGAGAGCTTTGGGTCCCCCCGGTTTCCTTGCTCAGTAGGGTTTTGAGAGAGGTGGCTTGCGTGTGAGGGTGGGTGGGGATCCTGTGTCAGAGGGAAGGAACAGCGTAAACAACAGCAGGGCAGGGAAGATCAGAGGAGTTACCTCTGCAGGGGAAAGAGGCTGGACTGGAAAGGCGGCTGAGGTTCCCGGGGAAGGTGGGGGAGAGCTGGTGTCGCCTCCCACTGCTTCAGTTTGTTTGTTGTGAAGCAGAAATGGGCAAGGGGGGGGGGTTGGGGGAGGGCTAACCACGACACGATTTTTGAAGCTAAACTACTTAGCAGAACTGAGAAAGCGGAATCCTGCAATGGTAGCCAGGAAGAAAAGCCAAGAACGAACTCTGTCTCATCTCGAGAAAGCTCACGAACCGTGGCTCGAGGTAACTCTGGGTATGGGTGCAAGTGGGGGGCTAAAATAAGAACAATCGGCCCTGGCTGGTGTGGCTCAGTGGATTGAGCCCTGGCCTTTGAACCAGAGGGTCGCCGGTTCAACTCCCAGTCAGGGCACATGCCTGGGTTGTAGGCCAGGTCCCCAGTAGGGGGCGCACAAGAGGCAACCACACATTGATGTTTCTCTCCCTCACTCCCTCCCTTCCCCTCTCTATAAATAGATAAATAAATAAATAAATAAATAAGGTAAAAGGGAGTCTGGGGCTGGGAGACACAATTAAGGGCAGAGGCACCAATAGGAAGAGAGAGATTAGATGAGTGTATTGCTATTGGATGCTGAGACCACACCCCCCCTCCCCAGTATCCTTTCCAGGATTTCAGAGTGCAGCCAGCCAGGGAAGGATGTTCCCTGAGTCCTCAAACCAGGCCAAGGAGAACACCGCCACACTCTGGTCCAGGCAGGCGCCCCAATAACCAGCGTGATCACCCCAGGAGGGAAGGCCACCGTTAACGAGCACCTAGCATGTGGACGGGGCTTCTAATCTGCCTGTCACAGGCAGCCACAGCTGACCTGGCGTGAAATCTAAAGCCCCATTACATTGTTGAAGGGCGGAGAAAATACCCATCGCCATAATTATCAATAATGTTATGGAAGACACTTAAGGAGATAAGGCAACCCATGAAGACAGGACGTTCTATGAAGAAATTCAAAGAACAAACAAACAGCATTCTTGGGAATTGAAAGGGAGGTTGCCAGAACATTTTTAAACCCTGAAAAAACAAAACTGAAAGCCCTGAAGTGAGGGGTTGGAAGATAAAGTCGCGGACATCTCTGTGAAAGCAGAGCAACAACGAAAGCCCCAAAATGGGAAATGGTGGGGGGGGGGGGAATAAAACTTAAAGAACCGTCAGAAAGGCCACTGATAGCAGAACCTCCAAAGGAATGACTGTAAAACATGGCGGGGGGCGGGGGACAGTGATCGTGAGTGAATGAACCCCAGAAAAGTCTCCCCAAGTGAGGAACATGTGTTAGAAGGACCAGGGACAGAGCCCAGCACAAAGCGGAAAAATAGCCTGAAGTTCAGAATAATGGGGACAGAATGTCCTGGCCTTAGAAGCAAGTTGCACAGAGAGAGGCAGGAGTCGGAACGGCTCGTGGACTTCCCCACAGCCACGGGCAGAAGTTGAAAGGCAAAGAGCGAAGCCTTGGGAAGCCCGCAGGAAAATAACTCGTCAGTGTTCAGCCAGCCAAAGCAGAAACTCTTGAACAACACAGGTTGGGACTACGCAGATCGGCTGCCTTGCGCGCACACGGCCCCTACTGGAGCCCTGGCCTGCACCCCCAGGCATGTGCCCCGACTGGGAATCGAACCAGCGACCCTTTAGTTGGCAGGCTAATGCTCAATCCACTGGGCCACACCAGCCAGGGCTTCCTTATGATTTTCTTAATAACATGTTCTTTCTCTAGCTTGCTTTATTATAAGAATATAGTATGTAATACTTATACAAAATATGTGTGAGTCAGCCCTGGCCAGTGTGGACTGGAGCGTTGTCCCATAAACTGAAGGGTTTGGGGTTCAATTCGCGAGCAGGGCACATGCCCGGGTTGCAGTTGTATCCCATTCAGGGCACGGACAAGAGGCAGTCAGTTGGTGTTTCTCACATCGATGGTTCTCTCCCTGTCTCTCTTCCCATCCCTTCCCTCCTTTCTAAAATCAATAAGCACGATCTTGGGTGAGGAGGAAAAAATATTTGTTTAAATATCAACTGTGCAGGGGGTCAGCACCCCTACCCCTGTGTTGTTCAAGGGTCAACGGTATTTTTAAACCCACGAGGGGTCAGAAAATTTACCTTCCATGCATCCTTCCTCCTGGTGGGAAGCTACCAGAGATGATGCCTTGCCAGAATGAAGACGTTCACCCAGAAAGGGCGAGGCGGGTGGTCCAGGAAGCAGACGTGCCACCCAGCAGGGAGGGGAGAGGCAGCCGAGGGCCCCTGGGCCAGGCCGGGCCCGGTCAGAAGCTGCAGAGAGACACTCCTCCAGAAGGTGGACTGGACAGACTCCAAGGGGAGCTGGGTCAGGCTGCGCACGCACATGCCGCAAAGCCCAGTGGTTGCTTTTCTGTCCTGTGCTCCGTCCACAGGGAGGCACCCAGGCTGACCGGGCGGCCTCTGTCTACCAGGGGTGTCCAACCGTTTGGCGTTTCTGGGCCACATTGGAAGAAGAAGAGTTATCTTGGGTCACTCATTCAATACATGGCAACATGTAACCACAAAAAAAATCTCATCACGTTTTAAGTAAATTTCCTATTTTGCATTGGGCCGCATATAGCCCGAGGGCTGCCAGTTGGACACCCCTGGGAGCTGGCCAGCCACCCTGGCAGAGGAACAGGGAAGTAGTGACCCAGAGCTGTCACTTAGGTGTGTGTCCCACACACAAAACACACTGTCCCCTCCCCCAGTGGGCCCAACCCACTCTTGTGAGCCTGTGCAACCTGGACGTGTCGGTCAGAGACAGGCAAAGAAGAGATTGGGTAAAAATGACAGGTTCGGGACCTCTCTGCAGGAGGCTCCGTGGTCTCTCCCTGCTGTGGTTCTTGGTCTAGAGACCAATGACCTACAGACGGTTGTCTGCACCCCTGGCCCTGGCCCCACTGCATGCCCCCCTGCCCCCCGGCATGATGGTAGATGGGACAGAATGACATAATAGCCCTATTCAGAGATGGAGGAGGGGTGGAGGGTACCCGGCAGACAGTGGCCGTAGCAACCCTGAAATCCCGCTGGGCAGGATTGCCCCAGTCCTGGACTGAGAGTGTTCTTTTTTTTAAAAATTTATTAATTTTTCTTCTTTTTTTTAAATCCCCACCTGAGGACGTTTTTCCTGAAGACATTTTTTTTCCATTGCTTTGAGATGGGTGGAGAGAGAGAGAGAGAGAGAGAGAGAGAGAGAGAGAGAAGGGCATCAACGTGAGAGAAATGCCGATTGGTTTCCTTCTTGTACACGACCCAACGGAGGATCAAACCACAGCCTGGGTACGTGTCCTGACGAGGAATCAAACCAGCGACCTTTCCGTCTAAGACACAGGAGGACGCTCCAACCAAGTGGGCCACACTGGCCAGGGCGAGAATGTTCTTGAATAATCCCGGTCCTGTTCCCTGGGAAGTCCTGGCTAGTCCACCGTCCTATGGGACCCTCCCCACCCTCGGCAGGTTCTCCCACTGCCAGCATCCTCCTTGGCGGCGCTGGGGTGGGAGTGGGGGTGGGGCAGCAGGAACGTGTACCCTGCGGGGGCTGAGCAGTGTGTTTGGTATTAGCGGTGGGGGGGGTGGTCATTAGCAGATAATTAGGTCAGGAGGCTACAGCCCTCGTGAGTGGGATTAGCGCCCTTATTATAAAGGAGACCCCACAGGGCTCCAGGCCCCTTCTGCCAAGTGAGGAGACAGCAAGAAGGCAGCAGCCCACTCGTTAGCAGGAAGCTGCCCTCACTGGGCACTGAGTCAGCTGACACTTTGATCTTGAACTTCCAGCCCCCAGAACTGTGAGAAATAAACGCCCGTTGTTTATAAACCACCCAGTCTGTGGTCTTCTCTTCGAGCGGCCTGAATGGACTCAGATACCAACCAAGTCCACCCCCATTTCCATAGTGACGACTGACCGAGCACACTGTCCACGTAGCTGGTCGTTAGGTGTGACCACGTGACTGACTGAGTTTCCGGGCCTGGGAATATGAACCGAGGAGGAGCTGCGGTCTTTTAAGGGAGTGGGTCTTTGTTTATCCTAAATGTTTTCTTTCTCTGTCTGCCAGCTGGGTGCCCGTGGCACCAAAGTCCTAGGGGATGTCGAAGCTGCCAAACCAGAGAGGCTGGGACCCAGAAATCTGACCCAGAGCACTGCCCCAAACAGTCACTGGGTGCGAGCGACAGTCCACCAGGGGCTGCTTGTTACTGGAACTGAGCCTGCTTTAACTGGTACCAGGGGTTGGAGGGGATGGGGGCAGGAAAGGAGGTTGTGTTTTATTCTCTGGTGTTGTTCTCTGGGCTTGGCCTCCTGGTGGCAGCCAGGCTGGGGGGAGAGGGGGAACCACCTCTGGGCCCAGGGCCCCTGGAAGCCCCCCCGAGTCTCCCTCACCTGCTTCTACCTGTCTCCTGACTCATTCACAATAGCACAGAAAATCATTCAAACCCAAGAGGGCTGGGACCCTCGGGGGGCTGCTGGCCATTTCAGAACCGGATGTGGGGTGGACTTCTGATTGAAGACCCCGTCACGGGCGCTGGTGGTTCCACGTGTGAACCAAGAGAGTGAGCCCTACTCTGTTGTGTGACTCGGGGGTGGGGTGGCACGCTCTCGTCTCTGGGTCTGTCTCCCGTGGCCCTGCGTGCGGACAGCCGATTTCACCTCTGGTGCACGTCTGCCCGGGGAAAAGGTTAAAGCCAGCAAGGCTCCCGAGACCGTCCGTTCCAGCCAGAGACCAGAGAGGCATTTACAGGGTCTGCCATGAGTACCTGAGGGAGACACCTTAAGGGGATGGCTGGTCCCTTCCTGCCTGGATGAGGAAGACGGCTCCCTCTCCAAACTCGACAACTAACAGAGGACCCCACCCGCCTCTGTGACCCTTGGGGGGGGGGGGCTGTCCACTCTGGGTGATAAAATTGTCCCTTTTGTGGCGCATCCCCTCCCCCACAAGGGTTGGCTGTCCACCCTCCGTGACAATCATCCTTTCCCTGGGTGGGGGTGCAGGCTCAAAGGCTGTGTCCATCCTTTTGACTGACGGAGATCCTGGAGCAGACCAGGTCGATCACAGCAACCCCCACCCTCGGGGAATCCTTCAGACCTCAGCTGCCTGCCGCAGAGACACCCTGGGGCAGCCCTGCCGGAAGGGGCGGCCACGCCTTCTCAGGTTCCAGTGGAGAACCCTGACCTCAGGAAGACCCCGAGACCAGGCAGAAAAAGATGCCGAGTCCAGAGTCTCCGCCCAAGTCCCCTTGGCCTCTCCACGGTGCCTCACCCTCCGCCTACAGGAAGCTAACTAATTAATGTGGGGATTTATCAAATCAATTAAATAAGAGCCAGGTCGGGCCGCTCCGGGCTCTCCTGGGACTAATGAGTAATCGCGTTAATGGGATTGGAAGGCTTGCTGAGAGGGAGAATCAAGACCCCCTGGAATTCCTGGCTAGCTGCAGGTAGAATTGAGCAAAGAGTGGATGGGCGGGGTGGGCGGGGCGGGTTAGCTGTTAGGATATCGATGGAGCAGTACTTTCCTTAGTACTGAAGCGAGCCCCTGAGAATGTCGGTTAGGCGTCACCCAATCCCCCGAAGGGAGGCTGGAAACGCCCTGCGGGGTCTCCCCACTCACATGCACACGATGTCCATCATCGCCTTCAGGGGGCGGGCCATTGGCCACTCCCTCCTCCTGTTCCGCCAACTTTCTGGGCTTCTGCGCAGAGCAGGATATCGGGAGAGCCAGTAGCTGCAAGTCCCGATTTTGTCGTTGATGGGAAGCGTTTCCCAGATGCCGTGGGGACGGGTTCTTTGTAGGCCAGCCTCGGGGCGCCGGGGCCTCCGGGTTTGGTGTTTGGTTTTGGCGCTTGGGATGAAACTTCCTTCCCGTGTGGAGCGGAGAGAAGCACCACCCGGGCTATTGGTATTCCGGGGAAAAAAAAATAATAAGTGTTCCTCCGAGGAAAAGGAAGGGAGAGGTTGAAAAGGAATTAGTGTTAGATCACAGGACCGGGAACCCGCGAGCACCCCCAGAGGCCGCCATCTGGGACCAGAAGTCATTTCCCGAAAGTCCAGAAATGGTTCCCCCTGGAAGCCGCTAAGGCCCTCCGCGTGGTCAGCGTGGGGTCTGGTGGGTGACCACCGGGCAGGCCCTCCGAAGGGGCAGGGGCTGGGCACGCCTAGTGTCTCATGACAGACCGGTCCTGCTAACTCAGGTCGTTTGTCAGCTTGGGACAGTCGGGAACTCATTCCAGTTCCCCTCACCCTGTGAGGTTCCGTCCGACACCTAGCCAACGAGCATGCGCAAAACTTTTTACTTTCCTGGTGGGAGGGGCAGAGGGTGGAGCGTACCGAAGGCCACACCTGCAGCCTGACTCTGAGGTATTCCGGGGATCTCCCCGGCAGGTTGCTGGTTTGCCTGCTGGAGCCCAGGTTGGGTATGGGATTTTCAAGGTGACTGTGAGCTTGGTCAAGGTGACCCATTTCTCTTTCCCAGGCCCCAGCCCAGCCCAGCCAATGGGTGTTACCTTTCCCACGACCTTGACCTTGTCCTCTAGTCTGTGCTGGGGCCTGGCTTTCACAGGGGGCGGCACTGGCCACGCTGGGTCCCCCCTCCACGGCGCTCACTGGGCATCACAGCCTGCCCAGACTTTTGCAGTTTCCGGGTGGTTTGGGGCGATGGGGAGCCCCATCAGGGAATCACCGGAGAGAGAAGGAGGGACCCTCCCCAGGAGTCTCTGAGGACTGGCTGTGTCCCTTGGGAGTAGGCCCTGGCTTTGAGGGAACCCCTTTGCACATGCCTGTTTTCCGGCCCCAGGCACTGTCTGCTCGCCCCAGGGGACCCTGGGCGGTAACTGGTCCTTTGGGGGTGCTCTTTCCACCCAAGGGGACGCCCTGTCCCCGAGGTTCCCCTGCACTGTGCATCAGGCAAGGGCTCACAGGCCCCTCCCTGCAGGTAGCGGGGTGCATTTGCATCTGCAGCCTACAGGACACACACAGAGTTTGACGTTTTCCCCCAAACCCCAGTAACCATCCTTATTTGGAGTGCAGTGAAGTGCATCTTGCTCCACAGATGCCCACTGATGGAGGCACTGAGGTGTGGCTTCCGGGGTGAGGACTGAGCGTCCCCCCAAAATGCAGATGGATATGGGACACCACACCTCAAGCAGAGTCGAGGCAGCAGAGCCCTGTGGGAGTCTTATGGAGCATGCAGGGCAGGTGAGCTGGGTGCAGAAGTGGGGTGGGTGGACGGGAGTTTGTGGGCTCGACCAGGACCGAAGGGCATTCGGGGTGGGGTGGCAGAAGCGGCCCCAAGGGGCTGGATAAGGGCAGAGGGTCACGTGCAGGGGGAGTGGGCTTGCTGGCCCGGGCAGCTGAGTGGCACAGGGAAGGAGGGGCGACGACGGAGGGACAGAGAAGGTCGAGAAGCTCAGAGAGGGAGACAGGAAGGACAGGGGGGAGCCTCAGGGATGGCTGAGAGGAGCATACCCCGACGGGATGAGTCCTTCAAACCTTGGCTCTGCTGTGTGATGCTGGGCCAGCTAATCAACCTCTCTGAGCCTGCCTCCAGCTTTTAAAGTGTGGGAAACCTGTTGTCAGTGGAGCATCCAGTAATGGAGTGCTCCCATGTAGGTATGGTGTCTACCACGTGGCAGGGGTGTGTACCACGGCGGTTTTCTTTTCTTCTTCAAGTTCAGGGTCACTGGTAGTAGTCACCAGGTGACCTGGAGACCTCGTTTCACCAGAGGAGGTCAGGTCTGTCCCCTGGTCCTGTTCTAGGTGAGACCTGTCCCCTGGCCTTGGCCGTGTCCCTAATACAGAGTTTGCCCAATGGAGCCTCGAGGCTCCTGGGGGCCGGCTCAGGGAGCAGATGCTGGCAGCTGCCACCCGCCCCACAATGTGGCTTTTGTCAGCCAGGGTGGCTCTGGAGCTCGGGCTGACCAGCGCTGGAACACAGTTCTCAAAGCTTGTGGGAGTGTTACCGTGACTCAACAAAGCCACCGGGATTGGTGGCCTGGAGGCTTTGGGTGATGGCTTTTGTTATGCAGATGAAGGGGCGGCTCCCAGCATGTTGCCCTTGCCTGCTAATCGTTTGTGTTGCAAATAGCGCAGGGCCTCCCACGATGGGCGGTGCCCAGTCCCCAGAGCTGGCCTGGCCTGTGGACACTGTCACCCTCAGCTGGCCAGGCTTCCTGGGCACAGTCCCGCTCCAGGCCCGGCAGGGATCTGGCTGTGGGGGCCTCTCAGTTCAGCCAGGCGGTGGCAGGACCAGAGGAAAGAACCAGAGGCGGACAGACGTCACCTCAAATTGTGCAGCTGACCAGGAAGCATGAGGCAGGCAGCTGGGAGGGGCCCTCTGAGCCCCTAGGGCTGGAGACGGCACCTGCGGTGAACAGCCTCAGGGGCAGAGGGACTGTGTGTGCCGAGGCCCCAAGGTGTGGTGGCCAGTTCCAGGTGGACACTGGCTGGTGGCCGAGGACCCGTCCAAGGGCTCCTGGGCCTGTGTGACCAGAGAGACGGGCCTGTGCCCAGGACCAACACGCTAAGGGGCCCTTCCAGCCCCACTGTCCACTGGCCTGGATGGTGATTTGGCCAATTCCTAAGCTTCTCTGAGCCTCCATTTCCTCGTCTGTGAAACTCAGAAATGCAAACACCCATTTCCCAGTCACGCCACTTCTAGGAATTGATCCCGTAAATATTCGCCCATGGGCCAGGCGAAGGTGCTTCTTTGTAGATTTGTCTGTAGCTGGTGAGGTCTGGACGTGCCTTCAGTGTCCACCTACAGGCGTTGGTCAATGAGGTTACGGGCTGTCTGTTCAAGGAACAGCACTGGT